CCAATCCAAGCACCTCAATCCGGAAACTAGACCTCTCCAACCTCACCGAGGTGACCACATTCGCGCAGACCCTAGCCACCGAAATCACTAATGGCACAATCCCCCCACTAGCTAGCATCATCTGCAACGCATACTACTGGAACCTAGCTAGCGAGGTCGAAACAACTGCCGATGAACTGGATAAGACCTTTCAGGTGAACCATATTGCTCACGCCTCGCTAGTACTGCGTCTGCTAGGTTCATTCGGATCGAACTCTGGACGAGTTATTCTCTTCGGTAGTGATGCTCATTGGCCCGGTAAGAATGGATTGGAGAAGTATCCGCCTACCATTCCAGAGGATCTGGACGTGCTGGTGAAACCGATCAAGAAGGCGGACGAAGATATTAGGGGGAAGGGGTTCTATCAGTATGCGGTGTCGAAGCTGGCGATTATCATGTGGATGTATGCGTTGAACGGGCAGTTAATTCAGGTATTATCTTGCTTCCTTGCAGTCTTCCGGTCCCAGTATACTGACATTGGGTCTACATCAGGACGACAATCTAAAGCACATCAAGGTTGTAGCTATCAATCCAGGCAACCTGAGTGATTCTCGCGCGCTGCGCACCAACACGCCGCTAATTCTTAGGATCATCTCCCGTCTCATAATCCAGCCACTGCGGCCGCTGTTGAGACTGCTTGACCCGACTATGCGCACGGCTACGGAGGCCGGGGAGGATGTGGTCGAGTTGGCTGTGAGTGAGAAATATGCGGGGGAGGCGGGGTACTTCACTCTTCTGAAAAAGGACGAGAGTTCTCCTGAGAGTCAGGATGGGGAGAAACAGGGCAAGATCTGGAAGAAGACGTTAGAGTGGGCGCAGGTCAGCCCTAAGGATACGGTGTTGAAGCTCGACAAGGGGGGTTTGCCAATGTAGGGTAACTACACACTGTACCATAATTATTACAGACACCAAATAATTACAACCGCTTTGGTTTATTTGATCACCGAGTATTGTAAACACTGAAGTCAATCGCATATCTGTTCATAGTATAGTATCGGCATGAACAACAACCAACTGCCGAGCCCCTCCACGGGCGACCCACGGCAAAGGCCTTTGCCCCAATAACTTCATGACGTTTGCTCCGGATCGGTGGGGTGTGGGGGATTATTCATGATGATCAAGCTTCGTCGGCTGTTCGGGTTCCTAGAAGTCCAATTCATGGGTCGATCTAGGCAAAGATATATACCGATCCTGATTCTCAGTTGAGTTTCCCTCCCCCGCTATCCTCATCCCTTCCCCTCATCCACAACTCCAAATATCACCATCACCACCACAACCACCATGGACTCCTTCGAATACAACGCCAACCCCGGCCGAGTCATTTTCGGCAGCGGCACATTGAAGAAGCTCCCCGACGAGCTTGCCCGCCAGAATCTCAAAGCACCTCTCCTCCTCTCGACCCCGCAGCAAGTCTCCCAAGCCGAGAATGTCAAGACCGTCCTGAACGGCCAAGTGGCCGGCATCTTCACCGAAGCCACCATGCACACTCCCACCCACATCACCGACAAGGCATTGGAATACGCCAAAGCCCAGAGCGCCGACTGCGTCGTCTCCATCGGCGGCGGTAGCACCATCGGCCTGGGCAAAGCCATCAGCATCCGCACAGGACTGCCGCACATCTGTATCCCGACCACCTACGCAGGCAGTGAAATGACCCCGATTCTGGGTGAAACAGCCGATGGATTGAAGAAGACTCGCTCCGACCCGAAGATCCTCCCGGGGACTGTGATCTACGATGTGGACCTGACTATGACTTTACCGGTGGCCATGAGTGCGACGAGCGGTGTCAATGCCATCGCGCATGCGGGTTAGTCCTCCCCAGTACCCTCCCCCAAAACCGTCAAACTAACACAATCGACCACCCAACAGTGGAAGCCCTCTACGCGCGCAACACCAACCCCGTAATCAACCTCATGGCCCTAGAAGGTACCCGGGCCCTCGCCTCCTCCCTCCCCGAAATCGTCCAGAACCCCAGCTCGCCCTCCGCCCGCTCCTCCGCCCAATATGGTGCCTGGCTCTGCGGTACCTGTCTCGGCAGCGTAGGCATGTCTATCCACCACAAGCTCTGCCACACGCTCGGCGGAAGCTTCAACCTGCCCCATGCGGAGACGCATACGGCGGTGCTCCCGCACGCTATCTCCTACAATGCGCCGAAGATCCCCGAGGCGATGAAGAAGTTGGCCGAGGCGCTGCCGGAGAGTAACGGGGATGCGATCCACGGGCTGAATGTGCTGTTGGAGAAGTTGCAGGTTAAGCGTGGATTGAAGGACTTTGGTATGAAGGAGGAGGATATTGATAAGGCGGCGGATATTGCGGTTAGTAACCCCTACTGGAACCCTAGGGAGATTGAGCGTGAGCCGATCCGGGAGTTGATTCGGAGAGTGTGGGCTGGGGAGCCGGCGAGGGCGGATTTGTAGATTAGATTCCTTAAGAGAGGGTTGCATGTAAATAGGTAGTAGTGTGTAGAGTTCAACTCTATATGTGAATCATGAATAGTACATTTATGTAACACACTTTCCACTGAACTAAAACCTCTACACTTCTACATACATAGCAAAGTAAAATATGGCACCATAACCTACAAACCTACTCACCTCCGTAATCCATCCTACCGCGATTGGCCCTCACCGTTCGCGAGCGGACGGATGGCGGGGTGAAAGTGGGGTGGAAGTTTTGCCCGCCAGAAATGAAAATCAACTCCGAACTAATTTTGCAACCCATCCCACTTTCCTCACCCCTCAATCCAACTCTACACCAACAACACATACACATTCTAGCCTCCCCCCACCACCATGGGCGCCGATATGGAGGCCGCCCCGGTCCTCTCCACCCCGGACGACCGCATCCTCGAAGAAGCAGCAGCTGTCCCGAACCGCAGCGGTCCGGTCTCCGACGAAGAAATCGCCATCACATATGACATTGAACGCACGCTGAAGGAGATCCGCCAGGCGCGGTATAAGCGCATCGCGCTGCAGTTTCCGGATGATATGCTCCCGGATGCGCCGAGGGTGTTTCAGCTTTTGAGTCGGGGGTTGGATTCTACTACTACGACGACGCGAGAGGGTGCTCGTGGGCAGAGTGCGGAGACGGAGGAAGAAGGGAAGGATCTGGCTGAGTCGGTGGCTCAGTTGAAGGTGGATGAGGCTGAGCCTGCGCCTAGGCTGTATATCCTGGCCGATACGTCCTACGGAACTTGCTGCGTGGATGAGGTGGCGGCGGAGCATGTGGATGCTGATGTGGTCGTGCATTACGGCCGGTCGTGTTTGTCACCGACGGCGAGACTTCCTGTGATTTATGTGTTTACGCATAAGGAGCTGGCGTTGGAGAAGGTGGTGCGTGCGTTCAAGGAGACGTATGCGGAATTGGATACGAAGGTTGTTTTGGCCGCTGATGTGACTTATTGTGATCATGTCCCTGCGCTGTATGAGGCTTTGGTGAAGGAGGGGTATACGAATTTGTTTGCGACGGAGGTGCTTCATGACCCTTCGTCGGCTATTCCGAACCGGACGGTGCCGGAGACGGTGCGTGAGAGCCCTGAGTCTCTGGCTGAGTGGCAGCTTTTCCATATTTCGGATCCGCCTACGGCGCTGCTGCTTACCCTTGCTTCTCGCGTGGCGGCTATCTATATCTATCCTACGGATAAGCCGGGCCAGGATGTTAAGCCCCTGCCTGCGTCTACGGCTGCTGCCTTGCGTCGTCGCTATGCTATCCTGACGTCCTTGAATACCGCCCCGATCTTTGGTATCCTGGTCAACACGTTGAGTGTGAAGAATTACCTGCATATTGTGGATCATGTTCGGGAGAGGATTGCAGCAGCCGGGAAGAAGAGTTATCTGTTTGTGGTGGGCAAGCTGAATGCGGCCAAGGTGGCTAACTTCAGTGAGATTGGTGGCTGGGTGGTCATCGGGTGCTGGGAAAGCTCGCTCGTTGATAGTCGCGATTTCTGGAAGCCGGTTATCACGCCGTTTGAGTTGGAGCTTACCCTGAAGGGGGATACGGAGCGGGTCTGGACGGGAGCCTGGCAGAGTGACTTCCAAACGGTCCTGGATCAGTCTGCTGCTGAGGCAGAGAATGGAGATGCGTCGACAAATGATGCTGCGAACGGGGAGGATGAGGATGAGATGTCCGAGCCCGAGTCGGCTCCGCCAGAATTCGACTTGCGCACTGGCCGGTATGTCTCGCATTCCCGGCCCATGCGAAACCCTGCACCCCGCGTTTCTGCCTCAGGAGAAGAAGGTGCTGCCTCGTCAGCATCAGCTGGAGGTCCATCCGCAGCGCGAGCTCTGGCCAGACGGGCCAAAGGGGATCTGGCGATGATCGGCGGAACCATCTCCCCTGGAGCGGAGTTCCTTCGGTCGCAACGGACGTGGAAGGGGCTGGGCAGTGATTTCGATATCCAGTACGAGGAGGATGCCAAGGATAGCACGCTGGTGGTGGAAGGGCGCAAGGGTATTGCAAGGGGATATACGGTGGGAGAAACAATAGAGCGACACTAGTTCAGGCCGCCCTCGCTCCCCTGGCGTTCGGAGAACCGGATTGTTGGGCGCGACCGTTGAAAAAGGGTAGAAAGTATGGGAACGAGTAGGGGGGGAGGGCAAGGCAAAGCATAGTCAGGTGGAACTAGTGGTTTGCTATTTTCTTTGCATTGATGGATTGATGGATCTGTTTTTTTGTGCCCTACTGATGCTGCTGGCACGGCCCAAAGCGGATGGCGAGGTTAACTTAGTGGTGGTGGTTGTGGTGGTGGATTGGATCGTCGGGGGGCAGAGAACAACACCACGCAGCTAGCAGCAGATAGTGGAAAGAAATCAAGAGGGATGAATTCAATATTCAATAAAATACACTGGGGACGAATGACTAGTGAAGTTGAGACCCGTCAGGCCACAGACTCCGGTGACCCAACGTATATCGTCATAGGAATAAGTCTAAACTCATCATCAACATCATCATCATCATCATCATCAATCAGCAAGCAAAAACAACAATAACCAAAAAGAGTGGCATCCCAACGGGGCCAAGGCGACCTATCACATGATTGCCGGCCGCCCGTTGGATTTTTGTTGCCCATCGCCAATTCTGAGCTGAGTTGTCCAAGCCACCCCCAATCGGTTTGCTGTAACTTGTTCTCCCTCCTCTTCCCTTCCCGACCCTCTCTCTCTCTCTCCCTCCATTTCATTCTATTCCTCTCCTTCCCGTGGATGGCCTCTGCTCATGTCCAACATTTGGGTGTAGTCCGCCCTCCTTGCGCATGCTCTCCTTCCTGCTTCCCTTATGATGTGCGGCCCTCTCCCGCATTCTCCGCTGTGCTCGCGATCTCGCGTCACTCTAACCTCCAGCTTCCTTCCAGGGGAGTGAAATCAAAAGAAAAAAAAGGTTGTTGAAGAAGTAAAGGGTCCCGCCATCCGATTCGGATCGTCATGCCATCCGTATCTCATAATCCGGGAGTGCCCGCTATCGATCATCGATCGGGCCCTGAGTCGACTACTTCTACTACTACTATTACTACCACTACAGCCATGGCCGGCAAGCCCAGCGGAGACCAACAGCAGCAACACCTGGTGGATTCCGCGCTCGAACACACCGTCCTTCCGGCCCGACATCCGCTATCCACCTTTGAACTCGTTGTCACTACCAATGCCCCCATCCTCGAATCTCTCCTCTTGCAAACTCCCACCGAGGCCATCCTAGCCCTCTACCATACCTCCCGCTACCTCCGCTCATTCCTCCGCTCTTACCCGACAGCATGGAAATACCTCTCTTTTCGGCTCCTCTACCCCTCTGGCACCCCGCCGCCCCTCCGGGTTGTCTTCACCGGCTCCTCCGAGACCGTCATCCCGCGCCAGTCGCGCCCGTATGCCCTCGACCAGCTGTTGATGAACGTGGTGATTCCGTTTAGTCCGTGCTTGCGCAGTCTGGAGTTAGATAACACAGCTGTGTCGGGGCAGATCTTGATGTCGACGGTACTACATTCGCGGCGCGAGACCTTGGAACATCTCTCTGTACGAGGCTGCAAGAACGTGTCGCTCAAATACCACATCATCCCGTACCTCACGATGTTTGGCCTCCAATATGATGTCAACATGGAGCAAAATATTGGGAGTTCACCGGATACCAAGCATCTTGCACTGAAAAGTCTTTACACGTATCGATGTCGACATCATCGACGACGGCCGTATCTGACTTCCTCCTTGTCGCGAAAAGACTCCGACTCCGAACCCACACATGAGCTGGTCAACCTCTGCCATAAGCTGGGCATCTGGACAGATACCGCGTGGTGCTCGACTCCGGCGGGGAGATGTTTTCGGAGACGGGGTTACGTGTCTATGCGTGTTCCACAGGGGTCGGCAGAAGTGTGGGTGGTGTTCGATCGGCTGTGGAGGTCGAAGAATTGGATCGGTCCGGTAGACCAGGCGAATCGTCCAGTCCAGCGGGATGCGAAGCTGTGGGAACACAGTGAGACCGGCTATTACGGTGAGGCTTTGGGGACCGGAGAGAGTGGAGACCATGGAGAGGGGAAGATGCTGCCGGCACATTTGCGACGGAGCCATACACAATTCGTTGAGAATATCCGCTGCGACAACTGCTGCGAGTTGATCCCTGAACGATGTGAGCAATGCAGTATATTGATGCACTGTGTCGGATGTCGAAAGACTCTGTGTGCTAGCTGCGCTTACGAACGGCCTTATCTGCACTGCCGGCCTCGATCGGTATCTAAGGACAGTCCATTCTGGTGGGCTCCTGGAGCTACGATGTCGCCATGTTCTATGCAAGACCCTGTCGAAGATTCCGAAAACACTACTGTAGCCAACAACGCGGCTCCCTCTTATCCCGCCCTCACGTTTCATTGGTGCTGCACTGAGCCTATCTTCTCTGGCGGCGGCGGCATCAGTATCGGCACACCGAACCGCGATGTGGACCAGGTACGAGCCGTGCCTCTGCCGCGGGGACAGGGATGGGAGGACCTGGAGTACTCGGCGCAGGAATGGAGCAAGACGTTCCCGCGGGATGCCTACGGAGACCCTCGCAAGCCCGACTATACGCTGGAGACCGGACATATCGCCATGATGCGGTGGCTACTTGGGCCGCCCGACCGACAGCCTGCCGCTTGTCCGCGCAACCTATGCCAGGACTGCTATGACACACCTCAGTGGAAGGTACACTGCAAGAGCTGCTCGAAGCCACTGTGTATCGAGCATGATCTGCGAGGGCTCCGCTTGAGAATCTGTGGGTACCGGGATCTGACGCTGGAGAAGCTGGCGATCCAGAACCACGCCGAGACCGGCTCTCGCGGGTTTGTGTCTTCGCGGATGCCCTACACGAATTCCGTGCCAGAGTTCGAGCTGCCGTATCGGACGCAGCGGATTCTCGATTCGACTACGAGCAGTTTTACCGAGGACAACCAAGAGGTCTTTCCCGAGGCGAGCAGTAGCGCGTTCGACCATCCTCGGCCCACGCCTTTGGTTCACCGCCGCTCGCGAAGTCTGTCAATCTCGAATTCCAACCGTTCACGCTCATCCTCGCCGTCATCGGTCTACTGCGACTCGCCATCCGACCAGCCCAGATGGCAAGGATGTCAGTCCTTTTTCTGTCCGCAGTATCGAGCGGTCGGTGACCAGCGACAGCGGTGCGCCAGCGTTCTCCGCGAGTGCACCAGCTGCTCGGTGTACGTATGCGAGGACTGCACCATCGCCTTCCCGCCGTGCAACTGCTCCTATTGCGAAGCCAACTACCTGTGCCCGAACTGCCTGAAGGTGCGGGAACGAGACGGGACCTGCCGCCGGCCGGCAGAAGAAAAGGCCCGTCGGGAGCGCAAATGGAAAGAGGACATGCGTCTGCTGGAGGGAATCGTGCAGGACAAACTGGCGAATAAAATGGCAAACAAACTGGCCGAGTACGCCGGCGAGTTCTTCGACGTTATCGAGCGGGAGGAACACGGCGAGGTGCAGCATATCGAAGAAGCCTCGACGTATCCTGGACCCGTAACCGAGGATCTAGGCGAGGAGATATTGACGGACAGTACGGAATGAAGATAAAATATGGCTGGCAGGGATCTACGGGCGTCGAGGATGGGCGGACTGATGATTATTTTCGGAGTTACTCTTTATCTGGGCCTGCAGATATAGCAGCGTGCATAGCAAATGATACTGTTCGGGTTGCCCTGATGCGCAGGGCGCTGAGGGGTCCTGTTGTCCCAGGAGGACAGAAGAGAATATGTGGGTCATTGCTGGAGGAACTGTATGTAATAAAATAATAACATACGATATCCACCATATCCTACCATTATCTACATTAATTAAGTGTTTGCTTAGTAGTTGCTATGATGTCTACACAAGTAAACCCAGTAGAATGTTGCCCCGCACGCGGAAGCTTCCAGCCCTTCAGCCAGTCCCCACCATCTGTAATTCCCTCCAATTCTCCAGACAACCTTCTTCTCTACAAATCTTTCCACAACCAAGTATGACCCCAACTTCCCCCTAATATAGCCTTTTCTCCACTAACACAACTACAACCACAACAGCAAAATGGCCGACGAACAACCCCCCACCCCCGCCGAGCTCGCCCGCCGCGACGAGGAAGAATCCGCCCGCAAAGCCCGCGAAGCTGCCGAACAAGCCCAGCTGCCTTACAAATGGACCCAAACGATCCGCGACGTGGAGGTGACAATCCCCGTAGCATCGAACATCCGCGGTCGGGATTTGGATGTTGTTCTCACGAAGACGAAAATCCGCGTTGCGATTAAGGGACAGGAGGCTTTTATTGACGTACACATCCCACTCTACAACTCTATTACGACAATACTAACCTCTTAATGAAATTTGTAGGGCGAGTTCCCCCACCCCGTCATCCCTGACGAATGCTCCTGGACCCTTGAATCGACATCCCAACCGCCCGGCAAGGAAATCTCGATTCACCTGGACAAGGTGAACAAGGTGGAGTGGTGGGCGCATGTTGTGACGAGTGCGCCGAAGATCGACGTTACGAAGATTACGCCGGAGAATTCGTCGTTGAGTGAGTTGGATGGCGAGACGAGGGCGATGGTCGAGAAGATGATGTATGATCAGAGGCAGAAGGAGATGGGTGGGTTGACGAGTGATGAGCAGAAGAAGAGGGATATTTTGAAGAAGTTTCAGGAGGAACATCCTGGTTAGTATTACTACCTTTTCTTTCTTTTCTTGAGTGTGGGTTGTGCTAATGTGGTGTGCGTGTGTGTTTGCAGAGATGGACTTTTCGAATGCGCAGATTGGTTAGGTATATAGTGAGAGGTATATGAATTATGATGTTGTTGGAATTGTATGTTATGCTGGTATGCTATTGCTGGTGGGATATAGCTGGCTTCCGTATTAGGACTAGTCTGGTCAGGCACTCCCGCGAGGCTGGCTGCTCTCATCGTCATATGTCATGAGTCTATCTGTCTTACTGTCGTGTTCTCTTCACTTATCAACATTGCATAAGTGCAAGCTATGCACCTTCATGGAATGTAGCAAGGATTAGCAACTTTGGTGGCTGCCATGCAGTCTGTCCTCCAATTTCGTCCTTCTCCCCGTGCTTATCATCCCCGGCGCCCGCATCGCAAATCCCGCGCTGGCTGCCTCGTTTGCAAGCAGCGACGGGTCAAGGTATTCCCCTTACTCTTCTGGTTAGCGCCCTCTCTAATCGTATCACTCTTGACGACAGTGCGACGAGGAAAAACCATCCTGCCACCGATGCCAGAAACTCGGGTTCGACTGCAGCTATGAGCCCGAGACCAAAGACAAAGACAGCGTCAGCGTCTTCCTTGCGAGTCCGCCTGATTCAAAAGCGTACTGCATGTCGGTGGATAGCGTGACCAAGAAGATCAACGAGATACTGCAGTTCGATTCAAAAAGCGGCCCATTGCCCGTCGTGCAAGCATTGCAGCACTTCCACCATGGCCTAACAAACCCGGCGCTCGGGCCGAAAGGCGCTCAATCCGCTATGCAGGCGAAGATCATTCAGCTAGGATTTAATGTATGCTGGAATTCATCTTACTCAGGTGTACTGTTACTGACGGCATAGTCACCCTTTCTACTGCACACTATCATTGCAGCAGCCACTTCGCACATCCGTCATCTGGCTCCGGATGGTCGTGTCTATACCTTCACGGAAACTTACCACTGGCAGCAGGCCATTACTCAGTACTCTCGGGAAGTTACCACCATCGGCCCGAAGAACACGGATAGTCTTATCTCTGCGTGCTTGCTGTTGACTATTCGTTCCTTTGCTTTGGATGAATACGACCCCCTCAGCTCGTTCGTCTTCTCAGACGATATTGCCTCCCTGAGCTGGCTGACCTTGCAAGGGGGGTTACGCCATCTGATCATGGCTACGGCGCGATGGAAAGCTGGCAGTATGTGGTGGGGGGTATTCATGAAGTCTCAAGATGAGACGGTGGATCTCTTTGAGGATGAGCGTCCTGGACGGGTGGCTATTCATCCGGGGCTAGCTGATCTGTGTGGGATTGATGACACAACCACCGCAGAGACGAACCCGTATCATGCGCCAGCGCGGATACTGACAGGACTGCTGTCGCTGGAGCGAGGGGTCCGGAGTTTTTCATCCTACACAGGATGGATGGGGAGGCTGCTACCGCAGTTCTTTGCCAGATTGATGCAGAAAGATCCACCGGCACTGATACTACTGAGTTGGTGGTTGGGTTTGATGTACGGGACGGATATGTACTGGGTGGAGACGCGAGCAAGGTCAGAGATCACGGCAATAACGTGGTACTTGGGTGAGGGATGGGATGAGTTTATGAAGTTTCCAACAGAGTGTATAGAAGACTACGAGAATGCTTGCATACCAGGCTGAGAATTAAACTACAATTGATGCTATCTTATCCGCTTATCGATAAAGTGATGACCAGGAGCGGGGAACTCCACCAATCAGCGATGCGGGGAACGTAGATGCCTGGATGCTGAGGCGCAGCCTCGTCGTGACTTTTGAACTTTCTTTCCTTGTTCACTCTCGTAGACATCACCTCTCGCTCATTAAGACAGAGACACGTAGTCTCTGCATCGCATTGACGTGCTCTGGTGTCTCAATCAACCTTTGTCCACTTTGCCCCTCCAACCATCAGACACCCGTCAACACCGGAGACTACAATAATCTGCGAACATCTACAGCAGACTCACCACCTCACTCCAACAACCACACCACGAACGCCTCCTCCAAACCTATCCAAAGACAAACACCAACGACAAGACCAGAAACAATGCTATCAACCCTCCTCGCAGCCCTCTGTCCATGCTCCTGCACCAACCCGACACCTCCCCCACCACCAAACACCACAACCGCAACCACTTACAACAACCACCACCACCACCACAACAGCATCCAATACCAACCCCCCCTAGAACCCACCCTCACCCTCCCAGCCTACACCCCCCACCCAAACACCGAAACCCTAAACGAAAAGACCCTCGCCCTACACCTCCGCGACCCGCCCATCTCCTCATCCAGCTACAACTACAACAACAACAATTCCTTCCCTCTCGACGAAAAACACCCCTACACCACTACCACAACCACCGCACCTACCTCATCCACACCACCCGACGGCATGACTACAAGCAATAATGCAGCAACAGCAGACGACGCTTCCTCGCAAATCTCCTTCCCTAGCACAACCCACAGCTACGGAAACACCTCCACCGCGACGAGGGAGACGCCGCCTCCGCCGTATTCGCCGACGTGGAGGGGCCACGCGGAGGGGGAGGTCGAGGGGGTGATTTCGCCGGTGCCGTCGTTGAGCTTTTCGGGTGATGGGGAGAGGTCCAGGTCTGTGTCGGTTTCGGGGAGGAGTAGTGGGAGCTGGGGGGAGGGGGGAGGTAGTATTGCAGATGAGGTGGGGATTGTGGCGCCGAGGGGGGTGTATATAGCTGGTCAGGGTGGTAGAGGGGATGCGTGGAGTGGGAGTATTGGGGAGGAGTATTATGGGGTTGGGTATGGCGTTAGGGATGAGGATTTGGGGAGGGTGAGTTATGAGAGCGGGAGAAGTGGTGGTAGGAGGAGGGGGTCATGGGGTGTATAGAGGGTATAGTATTTGTTTCATTAAGTATTGTCTGGAGGGAATGGTTAAACTTGGCTTTGCTTGGGATGGAGTTTGTTCTGGGTTGTATATACGCCCTTATGAGGCTTAATGTGGTATGGGCATGGGTGTAATTGATATTTAATATACACGTATATGCAATACCAAAGGCTAATATCGATAGTCGACTTCTTGCCAACTAACTATCTCACTTATCAACCCCAGGTCGACACTTAACATCCCCAATACAAAATGTGTATATACACAACGTCAGAAGAAGAATAAGAACAATGTCTCACCACTTCCACCTCAAGAGCTCTGGTAAGTGACCTTCAACTCAGAGTCACTAACAACACTAGGCACAGCCTGGACATGGTCACTAGTGCTATCCTCCACAGCCATCAAAGACGAGCCATCAAGACCGATCGTCTTTCCACCAGCCTTAGCAACACAGCCGGTGAAAGTAGCCTCACCGAAGTTAATGAAGGTCAGACCATCACCATCGATAGCCAAGTCCTCGACGATCCACTCAGCAGTCTGACCGACCAGAGTCGACGAGCTATCCGGGGCCGAAGCAGTGGAAGTAACGTTCTTGCCGGTAGTCAAGTTCTCAATCAGGGCAGTACCCTCGCTGCTGGAGGTCGACTCGACCGAGACAACAATCACATCACCGATGCTGAACTCCATGTCAAGACCGACAGTGTCAGCAGGGTACCACTCCGACCAGCCGAGGAAGGTGGTCTCGCCATTCTGGACGTAGATGTCGACACCGGCCTGCCAGATCTGGTTCTGGCCGGTGGCGCCGTCAATGCCGACCCAGAAGGAGACGGCCTGGTCATCCGAGGAGGAAGAAGCCGCGGTGGGGGTCACGCTGGGGAGGGTGAAGGTGGCGGCCACATAGGAGAAGGTAGCGCTGCCGCTGGTCTCCTGGACAGCACCGGCCCAGTTCTCGTTGACTTCGTAGTTGTCCGACGAGGTGGAGCTGCTCTTGTGGTTGGTGCTGACGGCGGAGGTCACGGCGGGAGCGACCTGGCTGGCGACGCTGGGTTGAGGGGTGAATTGCGCTTGTGGAGCGGCTTGGGTTTGGTAGCCGTTGTTGCTGGGCTGGATGCTTGGCTGGGGGGCAGCCTGGCCTTGACCTTGGCCTTGTCCAGGGGCATTGAAACCCTGGTTGCCGGCGCCGGGGAAGTTTTGGTTGGACTCGAATTGGTGACGGACGTGACCGTGAGGACCGGCCAGGGCGGGAGCAGCCAGAAGGGCTGTCAGAGCCAGAGTAGAGGTGAACTTCATATTGATGGTGGTGAGACAAAAGAAATGTATGTAAAAGAATGAACTGAGCACTGCTCGGGTGATAGTAAGACTAGCTATACAGATACCGGCTCTGGGCTGATGCGACGGAAAGAGACGTAGGGAGATGCTGAGGTTTTATAGTTAACTGCATCATGGTTGACTGTACCGTTGGGCCATCGATAGCTGTTAGTGGATCAAACTTGAAACGTGGTGCCGCGACTGGTGGAGTCAGCGGAGATTGACGTTTGTTATAGATGAGCATCAGTGTTTCAGGGTGGAGGTTGCAAGCGCATTCGGCAGTGATGTGCGAACGGGCCACTGCTAGCTTTGTAGGGCAATAGCTTAACAGATTAAAGCTCCAAGGGGTTCTTGGCTGTTGTTTAATCACCATTCCGCTTGGATAGGTGGAGACATCTTGTCGGGGTAAATACCAGAAGGGGTGAATTGTGAATCAGGGGTAACAGTTTGGCTTTAGATCCTTCCATCTGCCCTATATAGCGGATAATCTATTCTGCATCAGGCCATGATTAGTACTCATGGGATTTGGAGTGGTTGGTCCGATTGCACGCAAGCAGGCAGATCAATCGGTAATTGTAGGCATCAGGGGCAATGGCTCAGCAGTCTAGATCTTCTTCTACTCCTGAACGTGCATAGATCACATGAATGGCAAGATCATTTGTTTGGGGTTTACCTCAATAGTGTTGTCCAGAAATTAGCCAAGTTCCGAATGATCATATCGTCATGTAACCTGTGTCTGAGGTTATTCTGATGCCTTCTAAGTGGACCCTTTGCGTGATTCGCTCCATTTAGGTCGGCATTTTTGAGTCCGCTTACATAAATCATGTGGATAGTGCTTGAAGATAGCATGGTTTTCCAATACTATAGAATCACAGGTAGATTGGGCACACTGCTGAAGGGGGTATCGATCTACTGTGTTGCAGGCACAGGCACCGTCAAGGCCTTGACCTGATGGAGATGGCGGTCTCAGAGTCGCCAAGCGAGGCAAACTCATAGTGAGGTATACCTGTTCGAAGAATAAAGCGATCGGCGCATAGAGATCTATTCTGCAAAGGTATTTTGTGATTAATCTGGGTGATTACTTCTTCTCGCAGATTGGGTCGATGACAGTCTCACTCCACGCAACATGGAGCTCCTCGGTTAAGCATGAACCAACCGTTCTGGAATTCCAGGTAGGAATGCCAGCATCACAGATGCTTATACTCCGATCATTGGCAGCAACGGCTTGTTTCGAAATGCCTGAGCTGTGCGGATCATGACGGTTTGTGGCATCAGATACCACTGACACGAAGATCTGCCCACACATGACTGGTGTACCGGCGAGGACATCTAAAGTACAATCAATGGGCATCAAGGCCATTCTCGCAGTGTCGAGGGCCTTCCTGGCTTCTTACTTCCGCAAAGTTCTCCGAGACTATAATTTCACGTTGTTGACAGAATCTTCTGGGGTTTTACCACAAATGCAGTCTCCATGATGAAAAAAGTATGGAGAGCTCGGTGTCTCACTCTGTCACCCCAATGGTTTGACGGCACCATTCCATTTGAGTTTGACGATCGGTCTGATGTGGAGCAATCCGACTTTGAAACTGATAGGAAACACATTCCTCCGGGTTCATTCAATGGTCATTCAATATATTGAGCAATAGCTTGATAATTGTAGAGGAGCTATCAGAGGCCATACATAGTAAGGCCGCGTAGTTGAACAAGAAGACGTGACCGGCCCAGAAGGCTGTCTGGGGGAGGTGAAGAGAGTGAAAGTTGATGAAAGAAGCGCGACGCGTGATCAGGCTGCAATGCCTTTCTGCCTGAGGAATTAAGTCACGTGCGGAATGGACTGATTGGGAAGCCCATCGCAGAGGATGAATGAACGACCCCAAGAACATCTCTTCCTTTACTTGTTCATCAGGTCGACATCTCGCCATTTTGACAGCCTATAGATTGTCACATCATACCAAATTATTCGCTGTATTCCATGACTCGCCGTGGGTGAATCATGATTTAAGCCTGCGGGGCAATCGACCGGCGACCCGTAGCGACGATCGCTCTACTGCAACCATCGAGGAATATCCCTTCTTGTGAGTATCATAACACGCTGCTATGTCTAACAACTTATGCTGACGAGATACTCCAGTCTGTGATGCAGCGCATTTCCCCTTAAAATGGATTCGAAAGCTACTCTGGGCAGCATCCAGAAAGCCGTCTGGGCCGGAAAGCTACCCTTACAAATAACCTTGGCTCCATCAGAGAGCCGTACATTTGACCAAACAGATCCATACCTAGTACGTCCGCTTTTAGAATCTGATGAACCCAGAGCTAACTCACTCAGATCTCCTGTCCCCGCATATCATACCTACCATCGCTTCTCCCAAGGTTGAGAGCTTTCTTCGCCCCCTCTTTAATCGACCCCGGCTCCCGCTCGCACGAAGGCTGGTTCTCCTTCGAGGGCGTTCCATTGAAATGGCACTACCCAGTTGGCCTCCTTTATGACCTCTATGCTGGAGCAGATCCTGCCTCTAAAGGAGGTGCTGACACTGACTTGGCATCTACATCGGATGAAGACCCTTTACCATGGCGTCTAGTCGTGCATTTCAGCGACTGGCCCGATGAAGAACTCGTCCGACTTGATGCGGATGGGATAGTGATGCATGATGCTTTCATTAATAGTGTCAAAGAGGCAGATTTCCTGAGGAACGGTACCGCCAAAGGAATTATGACTCTTTCCAGGGAGGATTCGGCGGGGCTCTGGGAGTCAGTCAGAGATGGTACGTTATCCAGCTGTCGCTTACATGAATTTGACAGCAAGATCAAAGTGCTGAACATACATCCAGTGGACCTTCCAAACTTCCAGCGAATATCCAACATCCTCCTACCACCACAGTCACAACCGTTCCGCAACATACCTGTCCGGTTCTTTCTCCCCCTCCCCCCAGACTCAGACTCGCCCTCTCTCAAAGTAGTCCAGTCTCCTATTCCACCAACAATCCAACCAATCTCTGGACCCAGCGCTAGTGTCCTGGCGAGCCAATCCATTCTAAGTACATCCAGAGGGCCTCAACCACAAACCATAGGGTCAGCACTGCACTCACTGCTACCACACCTATTCCCCAGTCGAAGGACACCTGTCCTGGCGAAACCAGTACTGCATGGCGCCGCAGTTCCAATGGGGGCACCGCTAGACGAAGTAGTAAGATGCTCAGGATACGGAGATGGGTGGCTTTACATTGTGATCAGAATGATGGGGTAGCGTATAATTCCTCACTGGCAACGTGGTTAGCCATGAAAATGGCCCGACATCATCATTTCTGTTAGATAGCGTTGGTATGCTGTTTTCTAATGTAATGCATTGGTCTTTTCAAATATACGTGACCTTGAGTTCCTGCGACACTCTTCCACATATGTTTACCTATTTCTTTACAATTGATGGTAGTCATTTTTCGCCTGCCAATTCCCTCTGGATTAGAATTGGTAAAGACTACTTGGGCATTAAAACCCAAGCTCACTGTTCATTTGGCCTATAGTTGGCGGGGCGGACTTACCTGATGGCTAGTAGTAGTTGAGCGCCTATGAGTACTATTCTTGGGAGTTTTAAAGGCTCAACGTAGAATGAAAGCAATGTGTTTATCGATGGTTAACTTCCCATTATTCGTTGCGCTATTAACAGCCGATGAATTAATGCAAATAGAACTAATCGACTC